GCATCCTCCAGACTAGGAGAAAACGGCGTTTACTATGAAGTTTGGCCTTTACGAATTTGTAGTAATGCCTTTTGGATTGATGAATGCACCAGCCACTTTCCAAAGGTTAATAGATCGTCTCTTGCGTGAAGAATTGTGAAAATTTGCTCTGGCTTATATTGACGAGGTGAACATCTATTCGTTGGACTTCGATACACATTTATTCCGCATCAATGTTGTGTTGAAAAGGTTACAACAAGCAAATCTGAAGTTGAATCCGGATAAGTATTTTTTTGGGCAAAGACAAATTGAATATCTGGGGCATGAAATTAGTAAAAAAGGGATAGCAGCAGCAGTGTCGAAAATAAAAGTAATAAAGAACTTTCCTGAACCAAAGAATGTCTGAGCCTTATGTGGATTTTTAGGACTTGCGGGCTTTTACCGTAGGTTCGTAAAAGATTTCGCCAAGATGGCTCGCCGCTATATTGGTTGTTAAAGAAGGATGTCCCATATCAATGGAAGAGAGATCAAAAAGAAGCATTTGAGGAATTGAAGCTGCGATTAACGACGGCTCCACCCACAGAATGAAAAAGGATTTGTGCTGTATACCGACACCTCCCATATAGCTCTTAGTGCAATTTTAGCACAACCCAATGAAGAAGATCAAGAACATGTAGTGGAATATGCAAGCAGGTCAACAAAAACCGCTGAAAAAAACTATACAATAATGGAACTGGAGTGTAGCGCTATTGTCTGGGCTGTGAAGAAGTTCTACCAGTATCTGCATGGGGCTTAGTTTACATTAATTACGGATCATAGCACATTGGTTTATTTAAATAATATGTCTAACCCTACTAGAAGAATGGCCTGCTATATAATGTTGCTACAAGGCTATGATTTTGTAATAAAACACAAACCCGGGAAGCAATTAGGGAATGTGGACGCATTGTCAAGGATTTTGGTTGATCCAGGAGGAAATACGACGATACAGAGCGAAAGGAAACGACAAACAAAATAACAATTAAAAAAAAAAAAAAAAAAAACTTTAGATGTATATATATATTGATTGATCACATTTATTACAATGCTACACTACTTATTATAATGAAAGCTAGAATAAATTAATTAGCAAATGCAGACAGAAATTGGATCAGTGAACAATTACTGGAATATGGAAGCACGTGATGGAAATCAAAAAAAAAAAAAAAAAAAACTTTTACACTATTTACATACAGAATCAAATCTGGATTATTCAGTACTGCAAAGCAAAAATTGAAATAGACTGGTAACATATAATTGAAATTGAATTAGCAGGCAATTCATTTGAAATGGGATCACATGACCTTAGGATTATATAGAGATGAACAGTAATGTAATATCAAATATTATAACGGATGTAATGAAGCTAAGACGGCTACAACGATGTGGGTGCGGGGCACGGGGCACCTACAAAAACTTTGAGATATAATGAAGCTTTGAGTTAGTAGTTAATTTTTTAGTAAGCACATAATGATAGTATATTGGATAGTAATAACAAATCTATATTTAAACAGTACATACAAACTTAGACACTTAGGAATTAATACACTAAAAAAAAAAAAAAAAAAAAAAAAAAAAAACATTTCTATGGAAGTTGAATCTTACAAAGCATTGATGAATTATTTGGATAAGTTGAAAATTCCTACAGAATACACGAAAGCACAGGTCAGAAAATTAAAAGCACAAGCTTGGTATTATCTTATATGGGAAGTAGGGTTGATATGTTGTATCGCCGAAACTAAGAAAACCCTGATAGACCATTAAGGGTAATAATGAAAGATCAAGTGGAATTTGTCTTGATGGCTCTTCATGAAAATTATATTTCTGGGCACTTAGGCGAAAACGTAACCATCGAAAAAGCAAGAAGTTGATACCATTGGAACCAAATGGTGAATGACATTCAGAACTTTGTAAAGAGCTGCAACGTTTGTCAACGACAGGGTAAGCCGACGAAAAGAGAAGCGTTACACCCGATCAAAGTAACCCAGCCTTTCAATCATATTGGTATTAACATTGTAGGCCCATTACCCATAACAAAGAAAGGCAACCTTATTTGGTTGTTACTGTAGAATACCTTATGAAGTGGCCCGAAGCCAGAGCGTTAATGGATTGTTCTGCTGAAAGTGTCACCACGTTCGTATTAGAAGAAATAATCAGCAGACATGAGTGTCCACGGCAAGTTCAATCAGATCAAGGCTCCCATTTTGTGAACAAAGTGATCGATTTTATATGTGCAAAAGCCCAACTCAAGCATAAACTATCAACCACGTATTACCTGCAAAGCAACGGCTTGGTAGAAAGGTTCAATAGAACCTTGTGCAAAGTGTTGGCCAAATGTGTTAGTCAGTTTCTTGGAGATTAGGACGATTATTTGTTGCCTGCGCTATTTTCCTGTAGAACTACCAAGCACTATACTACGAAGTATAGTCTGTTCTACTTGTTGTATAGAAGGGAACCTACCTTATCTGTAGAATTGATGTTAGAGACATATCCTGTTGATTATGCAGCTGAAGAGCAATACGAAGCACTAATTCTAGCGCGAACATTTGGAATCATCGATGGATTGTTTGAAGCTAGAATTAAAGCTAAGGAAATTATTCGAAAGTCGCAAGAGAAACAAAAATGGCATCATGATCGTCAACACCCGCTTCAAACTTTCGAAGTCGGTGACTTGGTATTACAATATAGAGCCAGGTTGGCAAAACAACTGGGCAGTAAATTGCAAGAAAAGTGGACAGATCTCTATCGAATTCATGAAAAATTTGGAAATGGAACTTACAAACTCGAAGCCATGGATAGAAAAATTGAAGCATTAGAAGAAGCAGTTCATGAAAACCAACTTAAGTGATACATCGAAAGAAGGATCGAGGTTGAATCAAATCGTAGTGATCACGTGTAAAACAAGTGATGCATAATGAAACATTAAAAGAAACTTTGTATTGTAAGAGGATGCACGTGACAGTTATACATGGGGTTAAGAGGCAAATGACAAGGGTTTGACCCTTTGTTCAGAATGTGGATGCGGTAGATGAAAAAAAAAAAAAAAAAATTTTGTTGTTGCTGGAATTCGAACGGGGCTCATCCCTCAAGCAGAGGAAAATGTTATGCAATGAAAGTTTCATACTTAAACTTTCTTTGTGTAACCAATATACTATTAGAAGCTTCGCTTATACTCTTAAATAGATTTTGTGTAATATTTATTAATAGCTTATGCGTAGTTTATCAATGTAAAGCCTATTTTAATTAGACTTTAAGTAGTATATAATCTATTTGTAGTCTAATAGTACCTATATATGTATGTAGAATTTATAGAATATTAGTTAGTTAGTTCTTTGATTTTTGAGTTTGGAAGATAGTCTTTGATTATTTGTTGGTTCTCTTGTTGAGTAGTGTAACTTGAGTTGAAGGAATAGTAAGTTTGGAACTTGCTAAATAGAATAATAATAAAGTCTTAGTGGTAACAGTGTCTGGGACACTACAAAGAAACATCTGATATTTCATCTTGGTGCCTTTGTGTATGAATACAATATTTGTTTTACCTTTATTAATGATTACGACCCTTTGCTAAATTGGCCGGATCGATATAAGACTCTCCCTTTGGTCGTAACAGTGGACATTGAATGTAGTTTTACAGCTTACAAAAATATTCTTAATGAACGTAAAAGATGTCTTTCAGAAAATTCTATTACGATGTTAAATTTTCTATTTTATAATGTTAAGTATTAGAATTTTTAGTTTATATTTTAAACTGCCATGAAGTCAATATATAATATTACTTAAACGAGTAACATTCAGTATTTTATAATTGTTGTTAATGAATCCTAAACCTACATGCTGACATAACCAAACAATAAATACTCTAAACCTATATTCTGACATAACCAACCAATAAATACTTCTTGTCTGATGCAAAAACATTTGCAAAGAAAAGTTAAGTATAACTATTTTTGATAAGATTATTCTTGCGGATATTATCGTTCACCAGTTACTTTTAGGTTTGTACATTTCTCTCACTTGTAAAGTTTTATAAAACACTAATCGCCATATTGTGATAATAAGTTGAAAAAATTTAGAAAAAAAAAATTCATAAAATATTAGACTATTTGCAGCCTGTAATTCTTATTTTTGTGCCAAAAAACTGATACATTCAAGACTTGTAGCAAATTATTATTAGGACAATGATTGAAGAAAAGAAAATAACTATCTTATATAAATAGACCACTTAAAACAAAATTTTAAATAGCTCGTCTGTAAAATTTTAAATATATTTAATTTACGTGCTCTGTAAAGATTCATTAAAATCAGTTTAAATTTTAAAGTATTATTTATGACACCGCAGAATCTGCAGATTTCTGGACACTCTAATATGAATGTCTTCCCATGATAATTTAGCTCAACCGGGCAAATGATTGGTACATGTGCACGTGTTCATTTTTCCCAGTTTGCTGTTATTCAAACTTTTCTACCAGGTATATATATTTATATATAATTGCCTATTCTAGAATTTTTCTTTTTAAAAATGTTCAACTTTCTAAAAATTTGGGTCTGATTTATCGAATAGTTCTGACCAACCTAATCTAATCTAGTCTTATACTATAATCTAAGATTTAATCTAAGATTTGATAAAAAAAGAACAATATACTATATATAGCCTATGCAAGATATAAAATTACAGTATACGTATAACTTTGAAATTCTACAGTTTGTTAAAAATATCTTTATCGATTGATTATAACGACAAAGCTATAGGTTTCTTACTTTTGTTAATATAATTTTTGTAACCACTCAAGATTCCTATAGAACATTCCAGAATCGATGTACATTTTTGGTGTAACAATGAAAATTAAATCGATCAGCCAATGAAAATGAATACACATGATCGTAAAATTGTTTTTGGACCAATGAAAACAGACATATAAGTTAAAGTAGGAGCGTTTATGAAGAACACAGAACATTAAAATATAAACATCGTTATAGCAATTATGTCAGGCCAAAACCATTCTCACACACCATATACCTATGATCCTACAAGTTATGTCTCCACAACTAACACAGCAGCTTCGTCTACTGGCGATCTATCCCAATCATATTATGGATACGATTATGCAGCATATTCTTCTAGTGTTCCATATCAAAGCAGCACAAATACTGGAGTTTACGATGGCTATGATTACTCTACATACGGTAGTAGTAATTATTATTATCCTACAACAGGAGTATCGTCCACACCGAAAGCATCTACAGCGACTGTGGTTGAAGCACCTCCAGCCATTGTAAACACCGTCTCCATGTCTTCAAATTCAAGCAAAACTGGAATTATTCATCAAGAGAGAGGAATTAGTTCTGGTATCCATCAACCAAAGGACGACATTATAAGCGGGCATATTGACATGCAAAGCGGAATTAATAAGCAATCTACTTCAAAAAAGAAACCAAAGACAATTATTAGAGCAGCGGGAGGTGAAATTTGGGAAGATCCAACATTACTAGAATGGGACATTAGTAATGATATTTATTTACAATTTGTTTTGTTTCTTCAAAAATCTATTACTGTGCACTAAATCAAGTTTTATTATAGATGACTTTCGCTTATTTTGTGGTGATCTCGGCAATGAAGTCACGGACGATATCTTGTATAAAGCGTTTAGCAAATATCCATCTATACAAAAAGCCAAGGTTATCCGGGATAAACGTACTAATAAAAGCAAGGGTTATGGATTTGTAAGTTTTAAGGATGCGGATGAATTTGTCAAAGCTTGGAAAGAAATGAACGGTAAGCCATATGAATTTTGATTTTTGTTATCGTTAGCTTTGCTTTTTGTGGATGCTGAAGACTAATTACTGTCTCTCGATAACAGGAAAATATGTGGGTAATAGACCAATAAAATTACGAAAAAGTACGTGGAAGGAAAGAAACATAGATGTTAAAAATAAAAAACATCATCCTTACAAATAGAAAAGATATAGTATCACTGACAAAAATATTAGTAAATATGTAATGATGACTAATTCATTTATTTTTTGTAATAAAAGAATGATAATCTCAGATTTGTATAAGGCTATGTTCATTTTTTTTATATTGGAAATTATCGTCTTAACTGCCGTTTTTCAATTTTTTTTTGACGTTTGCTTTTTTCTTGTGGAATGGTTCCTTCATCACGTGAAAACATAGTCGGTTGTATGAAAAGCGTCCAGATTTTATACAACGCAAATAATGGTATCTTTTGATAAAAATATATGAGATCGGTAAAAAAAAAAAAAAATTTCATGAAGCTTATGACTCACCGACAAGTAGAACCACCAAACCCATTCAAAGAATATGCTCACAATGTGAACAGCCCACGTTACATAAATGATATCGAACATGTATCTATATGTAATTAATCCAAAATGACGAAGTTACGATACACCCATTGGATAATAATTAAATTAAAAAAGAAATTCTTACTCGATCAACCCTTTGGAATTTAAATCATTGCCTGGCCATTCAACATTTCCACTAGGCCCAAACCTCGGCGATCCGTGTGATATGATTCGTATCCATATAAACATACTAATGCCCAAAGTAGCAAAGTATGACGCAGCGATCAGAAATGTGAATGTTTCGTAATGATATAGAATTCTGAAACAAACATAAATCGCCTGCATAATTAAAAAAAAAAAAAAAAAAAAACCAAAGCAAAATAAGTTTTTAGCAGTTATATCGATATTATCGCTATTGTAAATTTACTTACATTCACGATGATGAACCCCCATTTAAGATTGTTAAGACACTTGAGATTTTCTTGGGCAATTTTTTTGTCGGATTGTTTTGCCTTTCAAAGTAAATATGTTATTACTAAGTAAAGGTTTTTATAGCCTTTTTCTTAAGTTCTTACCATTTTTGACTTAAAACACGATATAGAATCAAGGTAAACTCGAAGCTTACTTTTTTATATATATGTGAATTTGATGGTAGCACAGCTCCCATCGGTGCATAACGATAGGTTTATCGTTATCGTTATGTATGATCATGAATACGAAATCTTTTGATCTTGTACTAAATTCTCTTATATCATGGTTAGTTTTTTTTTTTTTTTTTTATCCTTGATTATCGGGGTTATTTCATAATTCATAAAATATAACGATGATACGTTACTTTGTTGTTTAACTGGGATCGTAAAGACACTTACTCGTATGTTAACTGTAGGTTGTCCTCGCGGCGTCAATATGCACAAAGGGTGGGAAAGGTATTTTCGGCAATCGTTTATCCTAACAGGATCAACTTTCTATAATTGTTAACATTTTTTACTATTATGAATTACAGGTGTGATTTCTCGGCAGTTTAGAGAAATGCCACGTGCCAGAATCGAAGGTCTGCTCGCATCTTTCCCAAAGTTAACAAGCGCTGGACAGCAGCATACCACTATTGAGACTGAACATGTTCGATATGTTTATCAGCCACTTGATGAGCTTTATATGGTTCTTATTACAAATAGGCAATCTAATATCTTACAAGATATTGATACTTTACATCTATTCGCTCGCGTGGTTTCGGATGTATGTCATTCAACTGACGAGAGGGAAATTTTAAGAAATAGCTTCGAATTGCTGAGTGCTTTCGATGAAATCGTATCCTTAGGGTATCGGGAAAATGTCAATCTCGCTCAGGTCAAAAGCATTACGGAAATGGAAAGTCATGAAGAAAAGATCCAAGAAATAATAGCAAGGGTAAATATTATATAAATTATATATATTAAATAAAAAAAAAAAAAACAATGATAACATGATTTTCTAATTCCAGAATAAAGAGCAAGAAGCTAAAGAAGAATTAAAAAGAAGGGCTAAACAATTGGAAATGCAAAAAAAAGAAATGCTCAAAAGAGGAAGTGGCACTTCGTTCGGAAGCAGTTTTGGTCAGTCTATTAATAGACCATCTTCTTATGCCGAACCACAAGTGCAAACATCCTTTGAAGAAGGCATACGTTCTACGTATAGTAGGTATGATATCTATATAAAAATATTTTTTGACCTTAGTTCTAAAAGCCTATTTATTCTAATTTATCTTTCTTATCTAGTTCTCCGACTCCAACACCTTCTAAAGCTAAGGGTATGCAATTAGGCCGAAAACAGAAAGGTGCAGATTTGTTTGAGGCTGTTAAGAATGAAGTTGGATTTGATGATGTATCCGAAAAGGCTAGTGTTAAAGGTACATCTATTCCAAAGGTCCCCGTTGAAAGGTGTGAAATCCTCAGTTACCTTTTCTATGATATAATAAATCTTTGATATTGGTTATCATTAATTAAGAAGGTTATTCATGTGTTTTTTGTAGTGTTCATTTATCAATCACTGAAAAAATATCTCTTCAGGCTAACAGAGATGGTGGCCTCGAGAATTTAGAGGTAAAAGGGGATTTGGAACTTACTATTTCTGATCCAAACATGACACGAATCAAGATTTCTGTTCGTGCGGTTGATGATGGCAATCTGCAGCTTAAGGTTTTATTTTTTTTGTTTTTGTGTAAATGTATTTTATAAAACTTAAAGCATAAGAATAATTGTTTTTCTCTTTATTGGAAAAATTTCAGACACACCCGAATGTTGACAAGAAATTATTTTCTACTGACAGCATTATTGCCTTAAAAAACCCTGGTAAAGGATTCCCTGTTAATCAGCCATTGGGTGTTCTTAGATGGCGATTCATTACAAAAGATGAGACATTAATCCCGTTATCAAGTATGTATAATAAAATGATGGTAAAATAAGGATAACTTGACTTAAATTTTTATTGATGCATTTGATTTAGTAAATTGTTGGCCTTCCCCTGCTGGAGATGGAACGATCGATGTCAATATCGAATATGAATTGGAAAGTGAGAATCAAGAATTTAAAGAAGTAATGATCTCCATTCCATTGCCGTAAGTATATTCTTGATATGTCGAAAAAGGCTAGCACATTTATCTAATACATATATCTATTTATCATGCACTAAAGTCCTGTTGGAAATCCTGTTGTTGGTGATGTTGATGGCCATTATGAAGTAAATAGGCAAACTAGAACCCTAGAATGGCAATTGCCTATTATCGATGCATCTAACAAACAAGGATCGCTTGAGTTCAATATTGCGGGCGATGATGTTAATGTGTTTTTCCCTGTTGGGGTTTCCTTTATAAGTGAAAAATTGTTTTGTGACATAGATGTAAGTTAATTTTAAGTATTTTATGTAATTCTATTTTTGATTTATTTATTTATTTTGTAATTATTTAGGTGTTGGATGTACTCCATACTGAATCAGGGGCTTCTGTGACTTTCTCTAAAGAAAAGATTTTATCGGCTGAAGAATATCATGTTATGTAAAATTAGATTATTTATGTTCAGCGTCATAACTAAGTTGTCTGGATATAAAACTGATTGTTTAACTAGTTTTTAAGTGTTGAATTTTGTGAATGATCATTTTATTAATACACGTGGATTTAGGAATTATTTATTATTCGTGAGACTAAATTTATAGAAATAATAATAATAAAATTTAATGCCTTATAGCGTATCTTTCATTTAGTGACTAAATTTTATAACCAATGAGAAGATTCAGATCGAGTATACTTGTAGGATCTCTTGCAGTACAGATTACACTATTAATAAATATAGTGTCAATCGATTAAAGAGTGTGTTACTTGTACTGCAAGAGATGCAAAAAAATTCTTGGTAAAGTATATTAATATATATCAATACGGGGGTACCATGGGTTATTAAACAGTTTATATATATGGAATAAATTTTTTTTTGTATTAATCACCAAAAGTTTATTTCTTTAGAATACTTAAGATAATTTTTGGTAACGAATACTGTATATATTTAATTATTTCAATAACTACGTATATAGTAATTTAATAATTATAATACTACGTACAGTCGATACTGTCTAAATGCATACTTAATTTTATGCATTTATACAGCATTAACCAATCAGATATCAGAAAATTGACAGTTTAAATGCATATTACTATTAATTTTTTTAAAAAAAATTATGCATTTAGACAATATGCAGTATTCCTTTATTTATTTTAGGTGCAAAAATACCGTTCCTGATGGATCGTCGGTACTGTTTCTGATAGGGTGGAAAAAAAAATCGATTTACATACCGTTCCTGATAGGGTTCTAAAAAAGGGTCTCTAAAATACTATTCTACTATAATGCAAAAAGTTAGGATCAGGGTTCGTTTTTAGGACCCTATCAGGAGCAGTACTCAAATAAATTTTTTTTTAACTCCATCAAGATCGGTATTGCCGATCCATCAGGAATAGTATTTTTGCCCCGCTGGCATTGCACTAAAAAATTTTTTGATTAATAAAAAAATAATTTTTGAAGAAACTAAAGCCTCGTTAAACATAAATGCGAAATATTCACCTATGTTATGTTTGAAGATACTTTTGCGAAACCCCAAATTCTAATATTTGTACGAGGTAAATTAACCAATCAGCGTGAATTTCATGATTATCACATTGGAGTCAAATCCGCCCATATGTGATCCAGAATAATTGGCTATTTTCTTTTATATTACGTATAATTGCTTAATAAGTTGCGACATATTTTATGCATCACGTAGTAAATCTAACCAATTATGCATACTATATCGATACGACGCGGTTCTACGGTCGGGCACATTACCAAAAATGGGCAATGTAGATCGCGCGGTATAGAAATTAGTGATGCGAACGGCTAGAGCTGAGCCGTGAGCCGAACGGCTAAGCCGAGCCGATCATCGGCTCGGCTATGGGTCTACTAATAAGGTATCGGCTCCAAAAATGGCTTGACTAAGACCTTTGAAACCGATCATCGGCTCGGCTATGGGTCTACTAATAAAGTATTGGCTCCTATTAGCCAATAGTAGATAATCTAGTATCCGTGTTCAACTTTATCGTATGAGGGTGATCGGCTTGAGGGTGATCGGCTTATAAACGGCTCGGCTCTGGATGTAGAGCCGAAGGATCGGCTCAGCTTAGTAAATGTTAGCCATGAGCCGAGCTGAGCCGTTCGCATCATTAATAGAAATGCAGATCAAGTGATTCTTTTTGTTTCGGTTACACGAATCGGAAGCTGAATTATATATTAATAATCAGCGAAATAAATTGTAAATTTGAATAGAAAAGAATAGTAAAACTTAAAAATTTTTTTGAGTCACTA